CTTTCCCTGTGTTTGTTGTGCATGATAGACATGTGCCTTCACTGTTATTTTTCTGATACTTCGGCTAATTTTTGAACTTATAAACTGTTGCAATATCTATTATTGAGCACACAAACTCTCGTGACTGGCCAAGACAAAATTATTCTACAGCCTGATAACAATCTCCTTATTTTTTTCCTGTATTGAAACTTTTATTAAGAAAAAATATAGAAAGAAAATCATCGGTCAAATTTATTAAGAAAAAATTCCTTACTTTTACATTCTGCTATATATCCACTAGTCAAATTTATTTCATGAAAAATCCCAGAGGATGGAAGACTCCATTCATTTCAATTTCAAACTTGAGATGAATGAACGTGAAAAGACTATTTATGTTTTACAAGTTTATTTAATGAATAAAAATGATTACGTGAACTATATTTTCTATATATTGGAACTCAGTTAATCAGCTTCAGTAATCATATCTTGCATTTTCCAGTGACACTAATTTTCTTTTTATGACTCAGTTTTTTCTTTTACAATGTCTGACTTTTGTGAAATGTTTCAGGCGACATTGATTGTGGAAAATGTTCACCTTCATTTACTTCCATCAATGAACCCTGATGGATTTAGTTTAAGAAAGCGTGGTAATGCTAATAATATTGATCTGAATCGGGATTTTCCTGATCAGGTATGTATATGTTTTTTTGTACAAATAATCTGTGTACAGTATGTTGATGAAATTGATTGAAGTTCATTGATGATTTGAAATCAAATTCTAGTATTAGAATCATTGTTCATGTTTTCACTTTTAAGACTGAGATTTTACTATTTTGGTCATAAGATCATTCTAATACTTGATTAACATTTATAAATGTAATTACATAAATTTATTTAAATTTAAATGATGATTTTAATATTAGAAGCATGAGCTTTTACTTTTCGGATGTGGATTATACATATTTTTACCTTTTAATTTAAAGTGACACTTTGTATATCATGTTATTTGTTATAATTACTGCTATTTCTTGCTAGAGATCATATAAACATTGACCTACTATGTCTCAAATGAAACAACAGTTCTTTTTTATAAATGATGACGAGGATTCCCGGCAACCTGAAACAAGAGCAATAATGAATTGGTTGAGAGATATACGATTCACAGCATCTGCCACTTTGCATGGGGTATTAATTCTTTGGAATTCACACAATAGTTTGCTTGATTTATTTATTTATTTAATTTTGTTATGTCTACTTTGGGCCAAACTGTTTGTTTCTGGTGTTTACATAGCTTGAGGTCATTTCTTCACTGACAATCATTTTTTTTCATTCTATGGTTTAAAAGGCCCAATGTATGTGAAGTAAACCTGAATAGTCGTCTTGTAGAATTGATTATAGTTCATCTTTATTTGTAATTTTCTTATTTATCTACAGAATTTGTTCATTAATGGTGTTTTTTTAATCTCAGGGTGCACTTGTTGCAAATTATCCATGGGATGGTTCCGAAGATAAAAGGTGGTAAAATACTTTGTATCATTCCACATTATTTAATTTTCATTTTGTGTCTACTTTGCAACCTATTATGTGTCTTTCCTATACAATACAAATAAATGTTATTTGAGTAGCTCCCCTTTTTTTCTCTCTACTAAAAGGAAATTCTTTACCAGACAGCTATAAGACTTGCAATGTTGTTTGAATCTGAATGTTGGACGGTAAAAAGCCAGCAAGAGAATAAAGCCAATGTATCAGAGAGGACAATGTTGCATTGGATGAGTAGACATACATACTGGACAACATAGAATTAGGAATAAATGCATTAAAGAAAATGTTGAAGCAGCACCTATTGTAGAAAAGATAGTAGAAACTTGCCTTAGGTAGTTTGGGCATGTGTGAAGAGGACTTGTAAACGCCATTGATAAGGAGAGTAAATCAGATGGAAGATAGCCCCATTTTTAGAGGCAAAGGGAAACCAAGGAAAACTATAAGTGAAATTATTAAGAATTTGGAGGTCAATAGCTCATCTATAGACATGTTTTACAACTGAACATTATGATGTCATTTGGTGGTTGTTCTACCAACTACCAAGACTGCTATATTTTGATGCTATTTCTTGTTAAGTTGGAATATGATCAATCTTTGTTCCTCAAGTTGGATGTCCAATCTTTTTCTATTTTAAGTTATTAACATTTTGTGAGTGCTATGTTTTAATGTTATCACTTATTAAGTTGGAATATGCTTACCAAGCTATGATTGAAGATTTTTTGCTGGCCGTAAAATCTTTTGTTATTCCAAGTTATTAATAATTTCATTGGATACCAATACGAGTTTCAGACCTTATACTAATGTCAACAACACCAAGGGAACTATGACTTTAGGACACACATAATGTCGGATGTTTATCTCTTGCCTTCAGAGTTCAGACCATCTTCAGTGCATTACATTATGTAGAGATTTATATTGATATGCTTCCAATCTGGAATAAATTACAGGACAAAGTACTATGGGTGTCCTGATGATGATGCATTTCGATTCATGGCAAGTATCTATAGTCACTCTCATTACAATATGTCTTCAAGCAAGGAATTTCTCGGTGGAATTACAAATGGAGCAGCATGGTATTGTTATATGAAAGTATTGCATAGTTGTTCATTACTGAAGTCTGTTTCCTTTTAATATGTTCACAATTTACAAATGGTACTCACTGCAGGTACCCTCTATATGGGGGAATGCAAGATTGGAACTATATTCATGCTGGCTGTTTTGAGTTGACCTTGGAAATTAGTGATGATAAATGGCCTAGTGCTGCTGAGGTTAGTTCTAACTTCTAAATTGAGCAGTCTTTAAAATTACAAATATATATGGAATAAGGCAAAATAATGAGGACAAATTACACTCACATGTTGAGTTTTAATGAAATCACACCTGATATTTTTTCCTTTTCTAACAGTACTTTGACCTTCCTTGATCTACTATATAAATGCACAAGAAATCTGGGTAAGTCTATGTTAATGGAAAGGGTATACGGTAATATGATTTTATATAAATTAAGGGAGGCTTGTATAAGGTCAAAAAATGGGAGGTATCAAGTGAATTTGTGTTAAACCTTGGGGTGAGAATGTAATTTTCCAAAATAATTATTACAAGAGAACATGAAAAAAGCAAGAAAATCTTACGAGATAGGATAAGAGGTCCCACTGAGAACTGACGCAGAAACTTCAGATGCATTCTAACATTATTCAAACATTTAATTTAAAGTTTCCATTGTTAAAACAAGTAGGATAAGAGAATGTTTTTAGCTGACATTGACTTGTAGATCTGTTTGAAGCCAGATGAATTTCCATTGACAGATAAATAAAGCTAAGTTTTAGCAACACAGATGTTCATCCAGTTTCAGTTTTAATATTTTTACCCAGATCTTATCTGCTCTATCATTAAAAAAAAATTCTCCAGTGTCAGTGATTAGGAGTTTTCTCCACATCCGTTTACACAGAAAGTAGTATTTATTTGGACGATAGTTACACATAATCTAAACAGAAAACCCATTGTTTGATGCCATAATAATTTATTCCAGTGTCAGTTTCTTTTTATTGCATTGTCTTCTATTAGCTCTTGACAAACATAAGCATGAAATACCATTAGGCATGTAGAAGTAATGGCCTTAAGGCACTAGAAATCACATTGACAGTAAGGTGGCTTAAAGGGATATTCACTATGGAAATAGAATTTTGACAAGGTGGGGAGGAGTGAAGTGCAAACTCTATTAAAAAATGATTAAAAGGAGAAAGAGGAAGAGAGGGAGGGTAAGCAAGAATGAATAAGGTGGAGGAGTTTTGGGAGGGTGGAATATTCTGTGTATCTTCAAAATTTCCTTTACTTCCCTGCATTTTCTTTTTGTAATTTCAGTCTCAATAGAGTGTTACCTCTAATTGTAAAGAGCTTGTTGTCCATTATTTTAACCTAATTCCAAGTATCTGTCAGATACTTGTTTGCATGATTGGCATCTACAGAGTACATATTATTGGTTTTTACTTGCCACTATGAAAAGTTTCTTATGATGACACCTGTTTACTTTGTTAATATGCAGCTTCCTATTCTTTGGAGATACAACAAAATGAGCATGCTTAATCTTGTGGCAAGCCTGGTGAAGGTATGCTGTTTCTGTTTATATGCTTTACACCTAAAGCATTAATGTGAAATGTATATCCTGTCCTTTTGCTTCTGAATTTTTAAGAGTCCTTGAATGGTTCATATAAATATTTGAGAGATGGTGTAGGAGACAACACAGCAGAGTGAATGTATAGTTGTATTGAAGTAACCCTGAGTCCCGGACCTTTATGTATCAGTTTTATTTACAAAGAGAATGAGGCTCTTTGCAGTGTTGTACAAGTGTGTAGTTTGATAACACTGCTAAATGCTAATACAACTATATTCAACGAATTATATTACATTCAATTGACTATAATGGCTACTATTTCAATGGTTCCCAGTATTAAAATCATATTTTCTTTTGACTGTTAAAATTATATTACCTTTGTGCACATGGAGTGGAGAATGAAGATAGAGACTGGCTGAAGACAAAAACAAGAATAAGGGAGTAGAAGTTTTTAATCCCAACTCCCAAGTTCTCCCTAATGGAAACTGAACATCTTCCATCATCACAATTACATTTTACACTAGAGAATCCACATCAAATGCAAGCAGGCATATCAAAGAAATTACTCTCACCCTTCTTCAGATTCCGTTCAAACAGAAAATTCCAAAACATATTTACGTTTTGTTGATGTATCCTGACAGAGGATCACATAAGCTTCTATGAATTCTTACTCATGCCATAACAAAAACTACTAATCTACTGTTTCGTGTAGCCTTTATACTATTAATCCCAAGTTACTAACTAAGGCTGTGAAGTTATTTTTATGAGATTATCTACTCAGAATATGTTTAAAGGGCAAAATGCACAAGGAAAAGGAAAGTTTATAGGGGCTTCAGCACAGTGAAGTTATTCCTACCATGTGCACAGTGAAGTTTGGCAGACACTGCCTTTCCTTTGGTTTCCAACACATCTTATTCTTCCCTTCAATTTTTGCAAACATAAAAGGAAACCTAAAAGATTCAGTTTCAAAATGCTTGAAATAGATGTGCAATAATATTTGACTGACATTTCCATTGTTTTGTTTATGGGGCTTAGGTTTATTTTATTCCTTCTGCTATATTTTTTTGGTTAAAAATATGACCTTTTTACATTATATTTCAAAATATGCATTGGGGATGTGTTATCAGATTCTCATATTTATCTATGTTTAAGGCGCCTTTGCTTTTTATTAGATTAATTACCTATTTGTTTTCTACTCTCTAGACAGGAGTGCATGGAAGAATATATTCTTCAGGCGATGGAAGGCCATTACCAGGATCTATAACTGTCGGTGGAATAAATTACTCGGTACGTGTCAAACTATTTGTTTGCATGTTTGTTCTGTATTTTCCATTTTTGGAAGTATGTATCTGCACATTTTCGTTCAATTAGATGATGAAATAAATTTTTTATGAACTATGAATTCCCAATCTTCCTACATTTTTACCACTAAAAATAGCATGAATCAATCACAAGGACTAATCTGACCCCATGACATGGAATGTGTTTATTTAAATGAGCATTTCGTGTTTGACTTTTTAGAAGCTAATTATATGACATGACATTCTAAAGAATTGAGTTTACATTTTCAAGCTTCTGTAAAATTATTTTCCCACATCCCAGCATTGCCTTTTCTTACAATGCTGATCTGTAGTAGTACTGCATATGACTGTTTGATTTATTAGAGAAAAATGTTATTAAGTTAAGACTTCATGTTTCAATTGGCCTATGAAATATGGATTTTTTCTCCCATTTGCTTCAATTCTTGATATTTCTCAACTGCATGCTTGATTTTAAGCTTCACTTCGATGATGTAATTTGGGTCTGCTATTTTTCTGGAATAACAGGTTAGAGCTGGAAAAACTTTTGGTGACTATCATCGCCTACTTGCCCCAAGAGATAAATATCAAGGTATTATAATATAATTCAAATAATTAAACTATAAAAAATGAAATTCTCATGATTTAGTGAAATCTTGGTAGGTTCTTAAGTTGTCTGAAGACCAAGTTAAATAAATTATTATATCAAATAAAAAGACGTAAAGTTCCGTGTTATTCCAATTAAGTGAATTCATACGAAACTTTGGGCACTAAATTGAACACAAAGGGAATTCAGATTACACCTTTCATAAGTGGAAATTTCCTGATTTTGATATAGATTTCATCGCAACCCAGATGACAATATCCTGATTTATTTTTTACCTTAAATTACATAAATTTCTGTGAATATTTGTAATCGATCTCTCAATTTAAATTGCAGTTGTGGCAACAATGCCTGGCTACAAATCAAAGAATACAACTATTTGGTTGGATGAAGGGCCTGTGACGTTGGATTTTGTTCTTGACCCTGAAGTAAGCCACAAATGGAGTGTACTACAAAATGTCTATGATTGCAACTGCAAACAAGAATTTGTTCAGTTTCTTGGGGGAGCTCACTTGGAAGTTTACTTTGTTTTGATTGTTGTTTTAGGATTTTTATTTTTATTATTTCAGAGGAGAGCAAAAGTTAAATGCTCACCAAGCAGACAGTTAACGGGGCCAAAAAGAACTGTTGAGGTTTGAGGCTATTGATGCGTTGTTTGTATTAAATTTTGTTGTATATTAAGGAGGGTAAAGAAATTAAACCTTTTTCCATGTAAAGATTTCTGCAGATGGCTAGCGTAAATTCAATTTACGAATGTTTTTGTTTGAAGAAATTAAAATATGAATATTTCTGCAGATGCATAATGTTAGTTCATGTTGTTGATTGCTTCTATTCTTAAAAAATGAAGAGCGCGGATGAAAAAAGAAACTAAAAGAACATTGCCTAAAGGTATTCAATTGCATTAGCGTGGACAACTAAAGAATAGTATATCAATGAGATTAACCCTATGTTGTTAATGATAACCTAGTTAAAAGAAAAGAAATTTCTCAATCTCGTGAGAAAATAATTGTCAAAATAAACTAATGGATGTAAATATCAAGTTATTATTCAGGGTAAAATTGGATTAAGTCTTTTAAGTAAGGTCTCAAATTTATAAAAAAAAATTTGTAGTCAAGAAAAGAGACTATTGAAGATGATCATTCAAGATTTTTTTTTTTTTTTTTGTTGCAAAGATCAGTCATTAACAAAATTAGTGGATATTTTGCTGCACGCACCTTTTGAGTGAGAAAAATAAATAAAAATAAAACCTTGATATGTAGATGGACAATTCTAATTTATAACCCAATATTAATAACCATAGGAACCGAGAGTTAGGAGTGTTGCGTGCAGAAACTAATTCTTAGAAAATCAGTTTACTTTTTTTTCTGACTCCAATATGACAGTTATGTGTAGAAATTACTGTCAGTAGTTAGTTTTGCATCAGAAACTGCAAAATGGCAGTCATGTATTGAAAATAACTGGCGATAGTTATGTATCAGGAATATATATCTGATTATAGGTTGTGTAATAAAGGATGTGTGAAGTAATTTTCGGTTTGTGGGCAGGGAATACACTTTGAATTGTCTGAGACAGCAAGCATGTTGTATTTGTGTAACAGGGGACTTTTGTCTCTAGGACTAGTGTAATGTATTGTGTGTAATTCCAGTGTTGAATATTATCTTTTATTATTTTATCAATCGGTGTTTCATCAAATTAATAGTATCCATTAAATAAGTTATGAATTTTTAATGTTTTGAGGATCGCCCCGCCCCGAAATCCAAACCTTCTTATCTCAAAGCCATACATTAATTAAGGTGGTGCAGAACTGCAGGTCCAAGACATACAAATTCTAATCGACAAATTGTTTTAAATTTGAGTAAAACTAATTTTAAGCTGTTTAAACATAATTAAAAATGTCTTCAAACTAATTTTAATCATAAAATTACATTCAAAGGAGATTTTCATTGAAAAGTGCAAGCGATGAACTTTAGGAGTAAATATAGAGGTCCAGTTTTCCTCTTCTAATCTCCTTTTCTTTTTTAATTGATAAAAATTATAAAGATTAAAACAAAGTTCAAATAAACGACCGTTACCGTCTGTTTTGTCAGCCTTATCCAGGGAAATCTCCATGCTAGCCCAAATTTTATTCAGGCTTTATGATAAATCCCAAATTTCAATTGAGACTTAAATTTCCAGGTCCAAATGTACCAATTTAGGAATGAAGAAAAGGAAGAAGCTGACAAAAACTGGCTCAATGTAAATCATGAAATTAAATTAATAAAAATGATTTCTGGACACCCCAAATGTTATTTGATGCCTAGTAAAAAAGATATAAGTATGACAGGTGATGTGATATGATAGAAAGAAATAAAGAGAGATAATCAATATTTTAATTAGATGTTTGAAAAAAGTGGGTGTCCAAAGATCATTGCTCTTAAATTAAATGTACATAGCAACGTCATCAGCTTGACCCTGCCTAGAAGAAACTCACTTCTGAATCTCAGCTTTGGGGTGCCTCCTCTGAGCAAGAATTTGCTTAGTCTTCTCGAGAACACAAAAAAATATTGAACCTCCAACTCCTATCCACAAAACTCTAGGCCCAATACCCTGCATGACAGTGCAAATGTAACAGTTAATAGTATTAGGCTTTCAGTAAGCAATTTGGTTAAAGAATTCAAATAATGATTATAGTGTTACACTGAATCTCAAGAAATATTCATACCTTAAAAAGAGCATGAGTTCCTTCTTCTTTAACTATTGTCCTCACACAATCACTAATGCCTTTGTAATGGTTTTGTGATCCCTGAAGTGTGTGTCAGAGAGTGAGGCTTCAAATGAAACATGTTTGAAAAACGAGGAAAAGCAATATAGCAAACCTTTAGAAGAAATCAGGAGTTCCCTTTTGGACCCCTCCCAAAATTTCCTTCAAATAATAAGACAAAAATTTCTCTCTACCTGAACCATCAACCTGGTCTTTACTACATCAAGAGGAGTTGTGACTGCTCCAGTTATGGCACCTATCAGGTATAAAATTTACCATTCTCAGTTCAAACAAATTAAGCTGGACCGTATTTCAGCATGAGTAAATAAAACAATGAGAGAAAAAACTGGTTTGAAGTTAATTTGGCTGTAACAATTCTTCTTTACAGCCTAGTCACTAGTTTAAATTATTAGTTCAGCATGTTGCAAATTGTCATACTATCTTCCCTCTTGTGGAATTTTACCAACTTGCAAGCCCCCATCCAATTATGAATAGTTTATCTTCCACCAAAAATATCATGCCAGATATTAGGATATCAGTTAGTAAAAAATAAGGACCAAGAACCAACATATAAAACAAAGTTAACGAACATTACTGATTAATTATGATACCCTTTTATGAGAAACCGAGGTAAAAGAAAAAGAATAGAAATTCCAATTGAATTGAGTAATACAAGTTTGTCATGAATTCCTGGAGGTAAACAGTAACATGCACTTGAAGGATTAACATAAATATCAAAGAATCATTGAATATTTCAACAGAGAGCTTCTAATAGATATGTAATACCAGCCACTGCCCCAAGCATAGCATTCTCCGGATCATTAGGATCTCTTTTTGCCTGCAAAGAAACAAAAATTCAGAAACAATGAAGCACCTCTAAAGAGCCTTTTGTTGTGGATAGATAATAGAAAATTTTATTCAAAAAATGGCAAAACAGAAGTATGGAGAGAAAAAGATATCCAAAATAGAGGGAGTGAAAAAAAAGGAACATCTAAATACTCAATAATAGAGTAAAGCTGTTCAATCTCTGAATATCAAAACGAGCAACTTGCTTGAAATAGAGCTTAACCCCAAAGAGAAGCAACAAAACAATACTATCCCTTAAGAAATAGGCTTAATTACACTTTGCTCTCAGTTTTACTTTTTAATAAATTTTGCCCTCAATTTTTTTTTCTTCACAAAATATGCCTCCAAACTTTTAGATTTAGATGATTTGTGTCCTCTGGTCAATTGCCTGTCAAAATACTAATGAAGTGCTGACATGATATGTTTGTCGTCACAATTATATTTAAGTCAAACCATTATTTTACATAATATTAGAGGGCACAAATGACAAATACTCTGTTAGTATTTTTACGACAATTGGCGGGAAGACACAAATAGTCAAAATCTAAATGTTTGGTGGCATAGTTGAGAAAAATTATTTGGGGGCAAAATTTGCCAAAAAACAAAAGTTTGGGGGCACAAAGTGCAATTGAGCCTCTGTCAAACATGCCACATTATTAAGTTTATTCATGTTAGACATGTCACCTCAAGTCAACACTCCATTACTATTTTGACAAGTAATGGATAGGATGACACAAATCACCAAAATTTAAAAGTTTAGAGGTATAATTCACGAGAAAAAAAGTTGGGGCAAAATTTCCAGAATAGTGAAAGTTCGGAGGCACAAAGTTCAATTAAACCTTAAAAAATATTATGAAAAAAGAGACATCCATAGATTTGGCGGATGGAAGAAATTCCCTCCAACTAGGGCAAGATATGAGAATTTCACTCAGTACCAGACAAAGCACTCTTTCAAATTAATCTTAAAGCCTGAAACAATCTCAAAGTATTGGAGTATAGAGAGAACACACAAAACTGTCTATCTTTTTCCAAAATAAAATACCGTCACTTCAAATCACACAGCAGATAGAAAAATCTTAATTCCTTGTGTAAAGAAAAGAGGCCTCTACTAATCAGCCAGGAAACAGAAAAATGCTAGAGACATATTTAACACTTACTTTCGAATACACGGGTGAATTTCATGCAAGTTCCACTAAAAAGAGAGTGAGCCCAAGTTTTCAGTATGACTTGAATAAACTCACCTTATAACAGATTGTGTTCGAAACAGGGTATCAAATATCAATGAGTGTTGTTAGCATTGCTCAGGAACCTATACATCAACCGCTAAGGTGAACAGGAAATGAGATAGAAGTCAAGCCACATCTCTCCGGGATTTGTCTAAGTGATCTCGACTCACTTGACTATAAGCTTTCTTAAAATTTTTGTTTAAAGATTAAATTCTGTTTACCCAACTTCGTTGCATCTCTCACCCCCTCATTTGCAACAAGAGCCGCATCCAAAATTTGTTTAATTGGAATGAAAATCCCTTTGATTCCCAAAAGTAGCTTCTTATATCACCTCATTCGGAGAAAGAGAGAGAACTTTTGTAGTAATCTTATAATATATATGGTAGAAACCAAACTAATGGGCCTAAAGTCCTTAATCCTAAGCTAATGACAATAATATCTAACAAATTGATGCCAGAAATTCAATAAATTTAATGTTCATTAGAAAAATTCTAATGAGCATAACTTTACTAGTTTTACGCAATACTTTTCTTCAACTCATACACAAATTGGATATATAATTTTACATGGAACATAAGGCGTCATTTTTATATATGACTGAGAAGCAATGGGAACTTCTATAAAAATCCATATAAATCAATAGACACTTCAAATATTAAGCTTACCGCTAGTTTATACCCAATACGCAGCTGCTCGTAAATGCATAATTCTATAGCATCAAATGGTAAATCTCGTAATAAGAAAGATCCATATCCCTACAAAAGTAGAGGCCAAGGCATGTAAAAATAAAATAAAAGTTAGCGTATACATAATATTCAAATAGCATGAAAAATGGAAAAGCCAAAAAATAATGTAAAAAATCATTATGGTTCTTGTCATAATCCAGCAAACAACATCATATCTCCTCTCACACAAAACATGAAACTTCTTTCAAGAGTTCTCTGAATAAAAAGCACCACCGGGAAGGTGGGAACAATATTTTAAAGCAGAAATTATACGCTACCTCGAAATTATTACTAATTAATGATCATCTCTAAGATATGAAATTAAGTAATACATACCGCAAAAAGACCTTTAAAACCCTCATTTGCAACAATAAGACGAACAGCGTCCGGGGCTGATCTAAATTGCCCAATTTGCATCCTTTGCTTAACAACCTAGAAAGACATTAATAAATTCCAAGTTCAAGAAAGTGGACAATATTTGGCAACAAAAGAAGTAAAGCTACTTACCTCAGTTGGAACACGAACAATAGAAGAAGCAATGCCACCAATAGCGCCTGCAGCCTGTATTCAGCTTCAGAGTTGAGTATCAAAACAACAAATAAAAAGAAAATTCACCCCCACTTCTAGGTCAGAACACCAGGCTAAATGGCTTGTGTGCTAATCATTTAAGGCAAGCTTGATACTGAGCTGATCAACATAGCTCACCAAAAAATTCAGTTATCTAGTCATTAATAAGTTTTATAACTTCTATTTATCTGTATCTGTTTACCCTTTACATGCATTCTGATATTTTTTGTTTCTATGGCACAAAAAATAGAGAAAAATTACGCCGGAGATATAATAAAAATTGATATGCAACTTAAAGCACAAACATGTAAAAGGTAAAAATCAAACTAGAAAATCTTTCAAGCCAAGCACAAACCTAGACACAAACTTTCACTGTTCAGACTGAGTCCATGCAACTAGATAATTGACTCAACTATGGCCTAGTTTGGATAGATTTCTCAACAAACACTTCATATAAAAGAAATTCGAGGTAAAATCAATCAACTTTCTTTCATTAAGTTATACACCTTAGATTTTGAAGAAGTTAGACGAGACTTGACTTGAGAGGGAATGAGAGATTCTAAGAAGTTACATAAGTTCATTTTAACTTATGAGAGAAGTTTGATTCATTTTACCTCTTTATTTTCTTCTTCTATATGTTTTTGTTGGGAAGTTTATCTAATCTATACCTATTTAGACTGAGGTTCTACTGTAAGAGTTGCAGACCATTGTAAAATATTATAAAGCCGCTATCTTATCGGATTGACCAATTGGTTAAAAAAAGGTTTTGGTGAAATTTCTTATGAATCTAGTGAATAACTGAAATTACAAAATATTGGATATCATGGTAAGTCTACAAGGTTTTGAATTAGAAAAGATTGACTTTGGGGCATTGGTGAATCTCATTTTACTTTGTGATGTCTTCCCCTTTTTGTTTACAAAGGTTAAAATGTACCTACAAAATGTATATATAATCACATATGTTTGGGAATCCCTTGCTCTTCAATATCATAAAAAGAACTGTGCCCTCATGTTTCTGGTTATGTACTGACCTAGCTGACACTCCTGGTTAGTGTATCCAAGGATTTATCTCAATTAAGTAATGCTATGAACTTAGCAATATTGGTATATAGACATAAAAAGGGTAACAAAAGAAATCAGAAAGTGGCAGGGGATCAAAAGCATCATCACATAAATAGCTAAGGTGAAAGTTGGTGGCATATTTTAAATAATGTCACCATATAGATAATTTGAACAGATTGTCCCTTTTTAAATACAGCCAACTTACAAAATGAGCCACAGCACTGAGATTCTCAGGCAAAGACTTTAGCAATTGCTGCTTTGTAGGTTCATACACACCAATAAAAATTGCTGAAGCTCTGCAAGGGAGGAAGAATAGTTTATCAGGCATATTTACTGCATAAACTAATAAATTAAGAAGCAATAACTTTACCAAAGTAAAAGAATGTCAAAGGTTAATGTGTCCTGAAAAAATTTCTTCTTAAAGTAGATTGTGTTTTCAGACACAAACTCAGTACATAAGTGAAAGATGACAATAATCCATGTAATTTAAGGAGGCAGGAAAGTTATTGAGTTTCAAGATTAAAAGTATGATTATCTTCCTCTCTGGGATAGAGTGAAAGCAAGAATTGCCCAAGATTGATCTTCTCCAACTATTGCCATTGATAATAAAATTTATTTGTGCACTGTCGAGCTTAGGGGCATATACTGTGATTAGAAGTTATTGATGTTAACTTTTTGTGCCATAATGGTTATCAAGTTCTGGGTTCCAAAGGATCTGAGATAGTTCCGCGTAGCTGGGTTGATAGTATCTGTGCTATTGCATATTTAGTATTTACTCAGCTAAAATTCAGCATATAGACCATCTTTTACCCCAGCGCAAAAATACACAAACTATCTTCCTAAAAACTAAAAATATTACTTTATCCTGAATTGGCAGTTAGAGCTTAGAGAAAAGTTCAAGCAAATGATTGTAGGCCAAAAACAGATTCCTCTAGTCAATTCCTTATAATTAAAACTAGAAACAGAAAATTCCCATGCTTAAGTTCATAGTACATAAGCTATAATATCTAATTAACATCGATTCAAATAAGATAGTTGCAGAAAAATATTGTGAAAAGCAGAGAAACAAGATAAACAACAAAAAAATAATTGCCATAAGAACTGCAAAGGATGACGTATGTATGAAAAAAAAAAAAAAAAGTGGACTCACGGCAAGACACCAACAAGATTTCCAGACAATCCAGAGTACAAACCCTTGAAAACAATTTTCCCTCCATCACGAGCAACCTGATATAGGATGGAATGAGATATAAAATAAAATTATAATATAATGAAAAGGTAGATACTAAACAAGCAAGTCAAAACATGACAATGGATTCCAACTAAAGATCAATAACTATAAGCCTGTTTATTTTACAATTTAGGCAACTGGAAAATAACTTGGCCAAATTACGTTTAACAAAAGGAAGTTTCATGCATTGGTCAAAGTAAAATCTCATTTGGTGGCTTGTACAAACAGATGTGACAAAAAAAAGGTGAAAGGGGGAAATGGAAACAATGTTAGAGGACTAATTCTTATCATTTCTTAGATTATACACCAGGATTAGTTTCTTTATTTCCTTATTATTTCCTTGGATTGGTTACCGTATTTCCTTATCCTATCTTGACTTATTTCCCAGATTAGATAGGATTATGAAACACCATAATTTCAACAATTCTATTAATTTTATCCCTAGGAAGCTGAAATGTTAAAAGTTAAGAAAGCCCGTTGCATTGCTCCATTAGCATGAAAGTTCATATCAAACTGGATAGAATGAATTTTGAACAAAGTCTATATTTCATGCATAAGTATAATTTGAATGACACATAATATATTAAGTGATAATTATGACATTTACAGAATACAAACTTTTGACAAAAACAAACATTTGGAAGCCACACGAAAATGGAGAAAAGAATATCAGTATTGGACAACTGCATCTTTGGAGTAAAATACATGCTTCCTCTTGTATAACAAAGTAACAAACCACCAATTTCATTGTTTCCATTAGTCTTCCTAGTTTCTCCCTTTCATCCAATCCCCACAAGACAAATGCAAACACAGTAGAATAAAAAGTTTACACTATATATACATAATATACCTGTAGTCGAGTTTTGATGGTATCAATGGGGTATAAAGCCGTTTCTACAACGACACCAGCAACACCTCCAGCAATGCATCCATCTGCAATTAGATCAACATTCATAAGTGTGTCATACAAACATTTGAATATCCAACTAAGACAACACTGGCCACAGAAGTTGTCACGATCACGATCGATTATCAATTCACAGTGGTAGATACAGGAGGGGAAAAAGCAACTATTTGAAATTGAAATTACAATTGCAAGGCTTCAAAATTTTCATCTATCTACTTCTAAATTCTAATAACATTATATGACACTGATTTCATTGTGTGCATAAAATGTAACATGGACATATTGTTGGAGTTCAAGTGTTAAGAGAGTCCTACATCAGTTAGAGTTAGACATATTGAATAGTATACTAGTATATAAGTGAGAAAGACCAACAAATCTAATACCTTAAAGTTTTGAGTTATAATATGATGTCAAACTCACTTGTGTAATTTACTCACTATCTGTGAATGGAGTGCTCCTCAGTGTAAAACACCCCAACACATACAACATATGCATAAAGTAATGTCAAGAGAGAGTAGGCCAATATTTAAACACCAAAAGCATTGCAGTTTTTTTCTCCATGAATCTACACAATCTTCAACTGGAATGGCAATACTTACCATATAGAGCGCGCAAAAAATTAAAAGGCTTTTTCTCTCCTTCACTGATGGACACGAAGAATTTATCTGGATCCTTTTGAACAGACATTTTAGACTTCAATGCATCTGAAAATAAGCAATGCAGAGCACAAGCACAAACCTCAGACAACAAATTGACACAGCAATTTAGAAGGTATTGCTTTCAAAAGTTGACAGAAAAGTAACTAAATAATTAAAACCCTTCTTGTGCCCGAGACCCACTTCATTAACTACCCACTAGCCACTATTCAAGTTCTCTAACCAGCATGAGACAATAGGGTCAGAATGAAAGTCAAAGTCAGAAAAACAAAAATGAAATTTGAGGAAATCCGATGTGAAAAACGACAGAGTAATAGGTACGTTGAACGGTAGTGATTGAAATAGCAAAGAGTGAAATACCAGTTGAATCAGGGTGGGGAGCTTTGGAGGTCATGGGCAATATCAATGTGCAAAGACCAAAGCTTTATCTAATAACCAATTTTCTCACAATTCCATTCAGCCAACTTTGCTGTTCTCGCTTACGGCCAAGTGGAGAAATGGGTTTTAGTCGGGCTTTTGTGTTTAATTATCCAACGATAACAACAAAATAGAGAGTCATGAAATGTTTTCTTTTTCTCGATAATATACTTATCTATAATCAATAAATTATACTTATATATAAAAATAATTTTATGTATAACCAAAATTTACTTATTTTATAAGTACTAATAATATTTTATAAGAAAAAAAATAATATTTATGAATTATAGAAAAAAGGAAAATAGAGAAGAAAAAATAAATATAGATCAAAATTAATATTTACTCATGGAGACAAAATATATTTAAGTTATAAATTTATAAAAAAATAATTTATATTATGATATAAAGTTATTTTTAATTATAGATATTTTATCTTAAATATATTGCAAATTATTTTTAAAATAAAGATAAAAATTCCAGATTAAAAATGATAAGACATTAAAAGTATTCTAGAAATGTTAAGAAAAAGCTCCCTTTTTTTTCCTTCAAAATAAGCATTCTAATTTATAGGGAATAATTTTATATAGATGATTATTTTATTTTCATGTATACAAAAGTCGAAGTAATAATTTCGGAGTGTGTTTTGATTAATTATAAAATAAATTTCAATGTTAGTTATTATAATCAATTATATAGAATATTTTTTATGCTTTGACAAGTTAGATGGACAGCGATTTTAAACTAATGTATTTTATTTGGATTGTTCGAAATAATTGTTTTTTTACAGTGAAATTACCAAAAAAAATTATGAAGCTATATGTGGTAATTGATTTTGTAGTCGGATTCGTCAATTATTAATTAATGAATATAAAACGGGTATCTAAAGAAATGGGAAAGCAAAAGATAATTGAAACCTAATTTGTTAATTTTTCTATGAATTGGTTGAATGATAGAGACGCTTCTGAGGCAAGAGCTCTGATCGGTGGTGATTCTAAATTTTCAATGATTTAGGCAAAGATAGTAAGGTATCAAACTTGTGGTGGGTGCCAACCTCTCAACTTGATCAAACATTCTCTTTAAGTGTATACTTGTATTTGATACAAAGGAAAAAGAAAATAGTGATGAACACATGTTTGTTTAAGTATAAGAAAACATTTTCATAACGAAGGCCAAAATTGAAGATAAAAAAAAAAAAAAAACCATTTTCACTATTTTTCAACAAAATGAAAATGTGATAACATAAGTCATAATTATAAAATAGTTTTTTTTTCAAATATGATTATTTCGTCATTTTTTCAATAGTAATGATGAAACTTGTCTTTAGATAAGGGCATACTTTTTTTTTTTTTTTACGTTTTATTTTTCTTCTACTCTCTTGTTTAAACAAATAATTCCCTTTCTTTTTATTTTCAGTTAAACCAAATAATATTACACAAAGTTTCTATTTCTATTTTTATGTTTCTCCTTAATTCATTTATTTTCTTCCCTTTTCTTTTAATTTGGTTTTCGAGCAAAACTTTAATTCTATTGGCGTGACTCGAGTTACCATCATTCTCGACAAAAGATACCCCTAATATTATTTATACACATTTTTTTTATATATAATATGTTCACCTTTTCTTTGTATTTTTCTCCATCACATTACTTACATTTTACACAATTGTCTGTGTTTCTGATCTCATGTAAAAGTTATTGTATAAAAATCAATTACTCAAAATATTATCGACATTTATGATATTTGTATCGTAGCATGGGGAAAGATGTGGGTGACAATTGACATTTCATTGCAGTTATCATTTGACTAAAATATGTAAAGTTGACAAATAGTTTCAGATGTAATGGTGGGGACATATATAGATAAGAGCAAGAATCGTGTGTTGCATTGTAAACAGGTAAGTAAAGGTTAGAGTTATTAAACCTAAGTTATCCCTTCCTACGTACCATATATAGCCTTATTATATATTAAATGGCTACTACTGTTTCAATATTAATATTCATAACAAATGATGAAAATACAAGTCAACTAATGAGCATTCAAATGAATTTTTTATTAGAAAAAATCTAAATTTTACGTAAATTAAAAATTAGATAATTAAATAATATATAAGTGAAAAATAACTTTCACATTACAAATCAGATTTGTAAGGTTGAGTTAGATTTAAATCTAATTTAAATCTATTATTCTAAGATAGTATCAGATTTATCGTAAATTCTTATAATACGAGAAAAATGTCATATAATGTAATTAGAGAGATTTCATTAATCTTCATTTAATATTTAGGATATGCTGCTCGCATTCTTATTCTTTATTTATTTATAATATATAATGATGATATTAGTAGTAAGTAATAAATCATAGCATGTGGAAATAATTATTTTATAAAAGAATACTTAAATTCTTAAAATTCTTTGCAGTGGTGGATGTACTATTGTATTACATTTGGAAATAATATTTTATATTTTCTGAAAATGTTTTGATAATATAATTTTTAAAAAATTTAACTGTATTATGTAAAAGCAATATACCCAACATTATAAATTAAAAAAATGTTTAATTTTTATTTAATAATAAATGCTTTAAAAGTTTTAATATTTCATTTGTCTAGGAAATTAAACTTAAGTATTTTAGATAATTTTTTTATACAATAACGACAATAAAACTAAAATGTAAGTTCTTATGCATATTATTTAACTCTCTTTAATTTCAAGTCACTCTGAATGGTTTTATCTCTTAAATAAGGTTAAAGTTTTAGTTTTGTGGATTAATAAGTATAATTAATGTTAAAAAGATTACTAAAAATCATCAGTGATATTTTTTTGACAAAAATTAATCACAACATAATCAATAAGTATAATAGCAATCAAATTTTAGAATGGACAATGATTAACTTTCGTCTTATTTTGGAGTGAATTTGGATAGATATAAGAGGAAGTAATAAATGTGATAAGTGATATATATAATAAAAAAATGAAGAATCACTTGACATGTGTGATAAGTGACATATATAATAAATATGAAAGGAAGTAATAAATGTGTTATGACATGTGATGGATAGCCCAAACAAGGACATAGAGTTTGTATTTGTAGTGTACCGTCGATATTCTTTGTAACTAAATCAATAATTGAAATATTGACGTAAAAATTATGATAAATCCATTTGATTAAAATTACAGAGTTCATCATAAAATTATGTTTACAGTTAATAACAGTTTTTTTAATTAAAATATCTCAAGATATTATATAATATTTAACTAATTTTGTTTTTATGAAAATATAATATCCAATCTAATACTATGTTGATAAAAATAAAAAAAACCTCTAATACCATAATTTATAATGCTATGCCATTGCCAGACACAACCGTCCAAGTCCAAATACTCGTTTTCAACGCTCATAGCTGAAAAGGCAAAACAAAAGCTCATTTTTAATTTAAAAATCTGAGTAATGTTTACATTAATATGTCATTGGTTAAAATAAAATAAAGTTAATTCATCTCCATATCACTTTAATGTTTTGAATTTAGATTAAAAAAAATAAAGAGATTTTATTTAAATTGTTCGTTTAAGTTTTTTTAACAAAAGAATAATAATTAATAAAATATGTAAATACTATGCCAATAATATGATGATTCGAAAACAATGTTTATCTATTTTATTATTTATTCGTATTTTTATATCAACTAAAGGTAATTACAGGAATAGTTTCTGAAATATACCTTTTGTTAATGCAATTACACACGTACTCTCTAATATATTAAATCTATTATACATGTAATCTTTTACTTTACAAGATCTACATATGGACTCTTATGTCTTCCAAACTTAACACTCATACAAAAGTCATTATCGAAGCTTAATCAAAATAATTAATCAAATTCACTCAAAAATGAGATGTGTTTGAACGTTGACCATGAATAATTAGCATATAGTTTCCTTCCAATTATTTTGCTAGTATGAATGTTTTAAATGATGGAGATAAGAGAAATTTGTTTTTTTAATTTTCCATTAAAAAAACACGTGATAATCGCATAAATGAAAAAAAAAATAAAAAAGTTATGTGTGTAATATCAACACACTTCAAGGAATATAGACGTAATTTGCTCTATAAACTAAAAACTTTTCCCATGAAGTGGTGGTAGACTGGTAGCTGATTCTGAACGGCGTTATTTTTGTCCTCAGCTTATAACACGTCTCGTTAAGGACGCGTTCATATTTGAGCCAAATTTGACCTTTTATTTGTTCTAACTTCACCATTTTGGTTCTTCCTCATCCTTTCTTTTTCACAATGACAAAATTCATTTTTTGATGCACTTTCACATACAAATCAATTTAAAATTAGGAACATGAACTTTTTTCCATAATAAATTCTATTTTTTTTTATTATTTACGAGCTTGAGTTTATCTTGGTTTTAAAATCAAGGAAAATTAAATGACAATGCTAAACGCTTTTATATATATGATCAATATTATAATGTCAACCAAGTGAACAAGTACATCAGTAAGACAAGCTCCACATGAGACTTTGTCCCCCTTTTGAGAACCATCCAAAGTCAAGTTGAAGATAAGTTTTTTTTCATACATGAACTTATAAATCTAATTTTGATGCGACGTCGGTTTCAAAAAAAAAATATTGAAGTATTACTACAATAAATTTTAGTCTTTCTGTGAAAAGAGTTTACATTAGTATTTTCTAATTTAATGAAAAAATTATCACTAAAACTTAACTTTATTTAGTTATCTAGAAATATTTATAAAAATATCTTATAACGTTTTCAATTTATTTCGATAATTTTTCTGAGATTACTTAAAAACAGAGTGGAATTTATTTCTTCTTGGATACAATTACTATCTGTCTATTTTGGTAGATTTTTCTTAGCTAATAGCTATCTGCAAGTTTGACTATTAGAATTACAGGAAATCCTTGAGTGTAAGCTACCTATTTATTATAAACATTTTTTTTAAAAAAAAGTTAATAATAAAAAGAAAGCTTTGTGGTCAAACAAACACCAAATCAATACGCACTGTAAACGGTTAAGACTTTAGCTAATAGAATACTTGCCCTCTTTGGCTCTCACTTTCTACAATTATATATATATATATATATATATATATATATATATGTTATGCTGAAACATTTCTTTCTGACTTCACACAAACATAGAACATTAGTGTTCAAATTTTAAACTCCTTCTTCTGCACATTTTCACTCTGCTTCTGCTTCTGCTTCTCTGGTCAGTTCCCAATTCTCTAAATTTTATTTTTTTTCGTACCCTTTTGATTATTCTTCACGGATTGTTGATCCCTGACGCTTCTCCTCAACTGGGTTCCAAAAAAGTTTCTGTCTTTTTCACACAATCTTCTAATTTCAAACTTTTTGGTGGCAGCATTTCCCCTGTTTTGGAACTCTGTAATTCTCTGTTTTGGGATGGTTTTCTTAAACACGCAATTCTATTTAGTTTTTTTTTTTTATTGTTGGAATTTTACTATAAAGGGTCATGGTTGGTGTTGTTTTCTCGCAACTGGATTCTCAAATCTCGTATCATTCTCGTTGTGTTTGTGCATGCAGGAAAACTGAAAACACTTGAGTATTAACGAAACTCTGTTTCAGCTTCCCTTGTTTTTCGGCAAAAGCAGAGTTCCTCTGTTTTCGAAGATGGCCATAAAGACCATTGAAGTGTTGAAAGGGTGCGGATCGCAAGAAGAGATAATGGAAGTGCTTGCTGCGGTGGCTTCGGACTTGGGGGATCCGATCGATGATGTGAACGCCTTGCAGGTGATTCCGTTGAAGGGTGCAATGACCAATGAGGTTTTTCGGATAAAGTGGCCAACCAAGAATGGTGGTGAAGTGAGAAACGTTCTGGTTCGTTCGTATGGTGAAGGTGTTGAAGTTTTCTTCGACAGGGAAGAAGAAGTTCGAACCTTTGAGTGCATGTCAGAGCATGGTCAAGGTCCACGCCTTCTTGCCCGATTCACCTCTGGCAGAGTTGAGGAGTTTATTCATGCCAAAGTACGTTCTTATCTTCTTTGTTCTTTTATGCTTTTCCTTTCTTCAAAAAAATAAATGCATAAACAGTTTATGTCAGTGTCGAAAGAAAAATTTACACTTCTATCTAATCGGATTACATGGTTATGATTAATGAGTTAATTAACTTTTACAATAATTTTTTAAATTATGTATTTTTAATTAGTCAACTTAGAAATTAACCTAAAAATAAAATAATCTAACATGACAATTACACGTCCCAGAATAGAATATTATCCTTGCTGGGGGGTTGCACTGGAGTTAAAATTTTAAAATTCTTTTGTTGATTTTTTATTTTTTACATTTTTGGTAAATCTTGATTTAACTAGTATTTTTCTATGATGTGGACTAGGTAGATCGGGGAAGAAAATGACAAGTTTTTGTCATAAGAGTACGGATTTATTAAATTTAATTCTTAAATGTGATTTTCTCACTTTTTACCTGTCAATTATGTATTTTTATTTCTTCTAAATTTTAATTGAGTAATTTTTGTCTTTTAAATATAATAAAATATTACAGTTATATAATTTTTGTTTTTTTTATTAAAAATATAATATTTTTTTTGTGAAACACTATTATTGTATCAATATTTCTAATTAACTGTCTTTTAATATATTTTTTATTTTTATAAAAGCATATTAATATATACTAATCAAAATTTATAAAATTATTAATTTATCTACAAATATACTAATATATATATAAATTTATTTATTTAGTAATATTAATTATATATATATATATATATATATATCATTTGATACATTAATAAAAATTATAATATAAATAATTTAAACCGGTCAACAATTGTATAGTTTTATTATATATTTTATGAGTATATATATATATACTTATTATATAATCTTTAAATTACTATATTTTTAATAAAAGAGACTAAAACCATATAATTATAAGATTTAAATGACTAAAATTATTCAATTAAAATTTTAGGAGATTAAAATCATATAATTATAACATTTAAGTGACTAAAATTATCTAATTAAAATATTGAAGAATAAAATTAGTAACACTTAAGAAATTAAAATTGTTCAATTAAAATTTTAAAAAACAAAATTACATAGTTATCATTTTTGAGGGGGTAAAAATGTGATTAACCTTAAATCTAAACTATAATATTTATTTATTAAAAACTTTCTATTTTTGACTTGTTAAGTTAGGCATTTGGTACAGAAGATGAAAATGTCTGTTGTGATTTAATGCATCATTAGAAAGTTTTACTTTATATACGGTTATTGTCATGTTTATCGTTTTATAATAATGTGCAGTTTGGATGTGAGCGAAAAATGATTTCTACACAGAAAGCAATAAAATAAAATAAACAAAATTGTACGCAATGGTGAATTAGTCATCCATATCGGCATGAGTTTCACATTCTTTTTGACACCGATCTTGGTTGATTATTGATGAATGAAAAATATTTGCCCGAATACTATTAAACATCTAGCAAGAGAGAACAGAAAATATAAGTATAATAATTAGTGGATGATATACTATATGATAATAAAAAGAGATAAAGAAAAATATAAAGTGTTGATGAAGTATGTAAAAATATAAGTGTTAAAAAATTATTGTTCAGCAAAATAATGTCCTCATAAACTCCCGTTGAATATTGAAGCCTACGTGAGAGCATGGACAGCCTCCTAGACCACAAATTTTAGTGTCTTATTTTCCCAGAAATTGGTTTCAGTGATTATTCTAACTCGTGCTTGAGCTTTAGAAAGTATATTCTCATCAGTTTGAAAGTGAATTAGCTTTTTGTTCTCCATTTTACTTTATTCTCTAGTCAAATTGCTTTTATTTGGACGGGTGCTTTCTTTTTCGAATTTTATTCCCTTTATCTCTTGGAGCAATGGAGGGTTACCATCACATTTTTACGATTAATTAAGAAGCATCTTTGAGGTATTCAATTGAATGGTGTTGAGTCAATGGGATGGGATCAGGTGCTCTTAGGTGCTACTCTTGCCATTCTTTTTTTTTCCTTCTCTCGTTCCTAAATGTTATTTCTCTATTAGAAATAAGTAAAGTAAGGAACATAATCAAACAATGATGTTACTGGATAGTGTGAAGGGGATCTGGATATTTTTTTTTATGAATACATGGAAATATCAGATTTGGGAGGTCTTATTTCCTGTCTATTTCACTCATTAATAAATATAGTACTGTAATTAATAATAATGCAATTAAGTAGTGGTTTGTCACCTTTATATTTGACTCTTCCTAGTTGGGTAAAGGAGTTGACCCCATGGACACTAGATGAGCAATTTGCTTGGTACATCCCAAACTAATTGGTGAATCTTATAATCTCCTGTTCAGGACTTTTTTTTTTTTTTTTTATTACTAGAAATAGAACACTGTACTCAGAGGTTATAATCACCCACATTATACACTCACTAATTTATATCCGTTGTGAAATGTCTATTTATATAAACTAAAACTAACTTGTATATAAATTAAAAGTTAAAAATAAGATTTTAAAAAGTTAATAAGAGAGAATTTTTATAAAATAAATTATATATAAGTTTATAGAAAAACTTATTTCATTTTTCATTCTTATTTTACTCTTCTAAAAGTATTTTTATAAAAATTTACTAAAACATACCCAAAAAACAAAGTTGATATCTTTACGTATAACATGCTTTTGTCTGTCCTTTTTGTTTTTGGCTTTTTAGACTCTCTCAGCTGCTGACCTCCGTGACCCCGAAGTATCTGCTTTGATAGCATCTAAGATGAGAGAGTTCCATAATCTTCATATGCCTGCTGCAAAGATGGTTCAGATTTGGCACAGAATGAGGTAATTAATTATATATAGGTTGAAAATCTTAAAGCCATTTTTCCTTGCCATCGCTGGATATTAAATACTCTCCTTGTGTTATTTACTAGGAAGTGGCTTGGTGAAGCCAGAAGTTTGTGCTCACCAAAGGATATAAAAATATTTGGCTTGGACAATCTGGATGAGGAAATAAATATCCTCGAGAAGAAGTTATCTGAAGGATATCAAGAGATTGGCTTTTGTCACAATGACCTACAATATGGTAACATAATGATGGATGAAGAGACAAGATTAATCACTATAATTGTAAGTTGTGGTTATATATTCTGTCTCTGGTACTTGTCGTGGTCTTAATTTTCATGCTGTATCAATGTTGGGATTTAGGAGGATGATACCACTTTTGTAGGCTCTTTTCATCTTTTAGCAGTCATATTTTACACTAAACTTATCTTTTGTTCTTCTTCTTTTTTTTTTTTTTTTAATTGATACAGGACTATGAATATGCCAGTTATAATCCTGTTGCTTATGATCTGGCAAATCATTTCTGTGAAATGGTGGCAGATTACCACAGTGACACACCTCATGTACTTGACTACAATAAATATCCAAGTAAAGTTCTTGTTTGTGATCCTCAATTGCATTCCCACAATGATTAATAATAATTGCAATTTTATGTTTATTAATTGATATCACTCTTAATTGCTGACACACCAAATTGGATATGGTAAACCAGGTCTAGAGGAGCGTCAACGATTTATCCGTATCTATCTGAGTTCTGAAGGTTAGTCCATTGACATGTCAAAATCATGTTATAAAAGTTGAAATCATATCATGAAATGCAATGCATGTCTCAAATTTATTTTGGCAACTCCTTGTACACAGGCAAGAAACCAAGCAATGCTAAAGTGAACAAGTTAGTGAAAGCAGTAGAAAAATACGCTCTTGCAAGTCATATATTTTGGGGTCTGTGGGGACTTATTTCGGTAAGTTTTTTATTTAGATAATTCCATGGTTATCTTAAAGAAAGTTATTTGTGTCAGTTAGCAAGGTACACTAACATTGATGTTTTGCATGTACTTGCAGAGTTATGTGAATAAAATAGACTTTGACTACAAGGAGTATGCAAGGCAAAGGTTTCAGGAATACTGGTTAAGGAAGCCTACTTTATTGGACTCACCATGCATCACTTCCCAAGACGCAACTGTGAATGGATCTCTGCCATCCTTCACGTGATTTTGCTTCACATGTCATAGTGAAGATTAGTCTTAGTATATATTTATATATTAATAACACGTACAATATATGATATGCAGTATCATATATGTAAATAACATATGTAATCACTAAAAATCTGTGATGAGTTTTTGAAATTTTAATTAAGGTTTGCTTTTCGATCCCTCTCTTTAGGGATTGAGTTTGGGGATAAATTTGAGAATAAGTAGTTTGTAACTTTGTATTGTTGCAATATCAATGGGATATAGATTTGTCCCTTCATGTTTCACACATTAGATAATGTTATAATAAAGTCTAATTTGAATGGTTCCTAGCTCTCATCTATAACAAGGTTACCCCTCTCCCTTTTGAAATCTATGTCTAGATAAACTACAATCCACAGCTTTGAAATTTATAAAAATAACAAGAATTTCAAATTTGAGTCTAAATTTTACTTTGTATGATTTAATTAACGTTTACTAATGTTTTCCTTGACATCGTTAAGTGACGTAGCAAAGAATGAGAGAATAAGATATATTTTATAAAGTATTTTTTAGATTTTTCGAATTATAAATCATTATGTATAAATTGATAAGTAATTTGATTTTTATGATAATTACTTTATAAATTTTACTAAACATGATTTTTAATTAGTTGATTATATAAATTTTGTATTATGACAATACATTTCCATTAAATTTTAAAATGTCATGAAGATAATGTATTTAATTTAGTATATTGTTAATTTTAATTAAACAAGTAATTCATTTATCATATATGTATATTTTGGGAAAAAAATATACTATTTTTTATCTTTTAATTTTTTTTTAGTAATTTAGCTCAAGTATTCTTAAATGATAACTAATTTGTCCTTAAATTTTAGTGATTCGAATTTGAGTCTTGAATTTAATAAAAAAAATATAAAAGAAATAATTTTAATACGATAAAGTTCTGATAAATACACTTATCTATAACATCATTAAAAAAAAAAATAACAACTGCTTTAAAAGTAAATTGCTTGTGATCAATATAAATTATTATAACAAATTTTGATAGTAAGATTGATAAAAATATTTCTTTACACACACTTAAAGATTTTTTCTAGAAGATATAAAGACAAATTTTTCTCTACAATACAAAAATCAGAGTAAACTTTTATCTATTTTATGGATGGACAGGGCTGGTTTAAATTCATATGTTTACAAATGAATTTTCATTTAATTTTTATACGTGTAAAACTTATATCTATATTTCTCCACATAATAAATTTTTACAAATTTTGATGAAACTTCATGCATTCAATATATATTAGAAATGAATACAAAATTTTCTCGTAACTTTTATCATATGAAAATCTCACAGCAAAAAATCCATTTTATCATAATCAATGTTTCACACAACCATTCATATTTTTCACAACCACAGCTCTTAAAAATTGAAGAAAGAAATGTGGAAGAATAAGATATGTAATATTTAGTAACATAATATTAAAAAAACTAAAAAAATATAAATAAGATTTATAATAAAAAAATAAATATCAATCTTTCATAAAAATATATTCAAATGATAATATTTTGTATACTATTTAATTAATAAAAATCAAATTCTAGATAGGATCAAAATTTTATAATTTTAAAGATAAAAAACTAAATATATTTATTTTAAAACTAAAAAATCAAAATTACAAATTATCGAAAATAAAGTGATCATAATTGTAATTTAGTCAAAATAATAATAATAATAATAATATTTGACACACAATCTTATGATACATATTATTAATTTGAAGGAACAGAAATTATGAGAACACCATAAATAATGGGTTTAGTTAGGCCTTTAAGAAAGTGTACAAGTTTGGATGATAAGAGAGAGACAGTAACACAGCAATAGCATACACACTTAAATTCACAGATGGTGTCCCCCCACATTTTATTTAATTGGATTATTATTATACATAATATGAGTTGTGGGGTGGAATGGAGACACACTCGCGAAACTAGCGACGGAAGCTCCTCACTTGTCTCGGCGGGTTCG